CTCAACTTGTGTTAGTTATCTTCTAGGCCCCTTTGAGGAATTAAGAATACACAAGAGATTATTGTTTTACTCAACTTGTGTTAGTTATCTTCTAGGCCCCTTTGAGGAATTAAGAATACACAAGAGAATAAAATTTATGTCCCAAAGGTATACAGTCTTAAAGGAGCAGACACAAGTAAAGACAATTTTCTATTGTAAGATCGAATGAGGAACATAGGAAGGGATACATAGGTTGGGCAGACTTTGCAGAGGAATTCCTTGAGCTTCATATTAAAGGAACAGTAAGTAGGAGGTGATTTGACTGGAGGAAGGAAAATTAACTGGACTTTTCTATTTTAATTTAGATGTGACATCTTGTTGAAAGCCATCTCAATTGTAAAGTCTTTCTGGCATACTAGAAATGACTAATATGATTTTAAGTAGAGCATCTGCTCTTAGAATAAATGTGAATTAAGCATTCTGCCATGGCTTCAGGTTTGGTATCTTTCATGATATAAGAAAAATAAATAAATAAAAAAATAAAAAAATAAAAAATAAAATTAAAAAAATAATAAATAAATAAATAAATAGGTTGATCCTATTTTACATTTTTATCCATTAGGCTCTCATTCTGTGGTTGAAATGGAAAATAAAATGCGTACAATGTAGCCAAATCTAACTGATGTGATAGAAACATAGAACCAAAACAAAGTATCTAAGCAATTGTTTGAGATAAAATTTGATTCTGATCAATTTTGCTCTATAATAATTCTATTTACAAAATTAGCTACCCCCAAGTTCTCAAGTTATTTTCATTATAGAGATTGTATTTTAATAATTGAATGTGAGTATATCCCACCAGAAATATACAAGGATATCTAAAAGTTATAAATTAATATTTACTCTTACATTTGATTTAAGGAAATTACAGGAAAATTTTATCCTATCAGCATGCTGAATTTCTTTTTTCAGTAATGTTCACTTGGCATTCCATTTTAAATGTTCCATATCTCTCTGCAATTTCAATAACTTTTAAGTCTGTTATTTAAAATTTTTTCATCAAACTTGTACTTTAATATTTTTCAAAATCATGTCATTCAGAATGGCTTAAAGTAAGAAAGAGCACTTTACGTTTTTCTTTTCTGGTTTTCACTTTCATATTTCTAAGTAGTATAAATATATGCTTACTTTTCTTTTTTTTTTTTTTTTTTTGCCGTACGCGGGCCTCTCACTGTTGTGGCCTCTCCTGTTGTGGAGTACAGGCTCCGGGAGCACAGGCTCAGCGGCCATGGCTCATGGGCCCAGCCGCTCCGCGGCACGTGGGTTCTTCCCGGACTGGGGCACGAACCTGTGTCCCCTGCATCGGCAGGCGGACTCTCAACCACTGTGCCACCAGGGAAGCCCCTACGTTTACTTTTTTAATGCCTACTTTTTAATTTATGGAAAGTAGATATCTCTTAATTCACATATATTCTTATTTCTTCTCAATATAATTGTATTATTAGATTAATCTCATTTTTTTCAGATTCAAATAATTCTGTTAATCATCTCTCTCTTGCTTTCTGTATATCTTAACTTCCAAATAGTGAGTGGAGTATTTTAATAACCTTCCCTTTCTCATCAACTCTCCCTGCTTCCACATCTCAACCTAAAATCTTCCTCTGCTGTAATTTTCTTTGGAAAGGTTGGTAACATATATTTTCTATTGCATAATAAGTTTTCTACCTTGCCTATATGTGGACTTATACAGTTGAAAATTAATAATTGACATTTGCATCATTACAATTATAAATAGTGTGAGCTAAGAGTCAAGTCGGACTACGATTACATTTTCTTCTCATAATTCCAAGCCACAGACCCTCTGCTACTTAAAGAAGAATGTCTAATAGATTCCTTCTTACTTTTGCCAGATGCTTAGTTGAAGCCACAGACTAGTTTCATATTTTACACCATATCTTCCTTTTTCTATCACCTTTGTTTCCTTGTTGGAAAAATAAATCTTTGCTTCCTCACCTTTTTTCTCATTCTGTACAGTGCTTGAAATCTATTTCATTTTCTTCAAGAAGCCTATGAAATTTTTATAGTTTCTCCTTTCTTTCTCTCTCTCTTTCTTTCTTTCTTTCTCTCTTTCTCTCTTTCTTTCTCTCTTTCTCTCTTTCTCTCTTTCTCTCTTTCTTTCTTTTCCACTATGCGGGCCTCTCACTGTTGTGGCCTCTCCCGTTGCGGAGCACAGGCTCCGGACGCGCAGGCTCAGCGGCCATGGCTCACGGGCCCAGCCGCTCCGCGGCATGTGGGATCTTCCTGGACCGGGGCACGAACCCGTGTCCCCTGCATCGGCAGGCGGACTCTCAACCACTGCACCACCAGGGAAGCCCTCTCCTTTATTTTTAAATATACAATTCTAAAATGTAGTCATTATATCAACTACTGAAAATCTAAACACTACAAGCTTCCCAATTTTATTGGAATACATATTCCCATTTTTAATTCCCAACTTAGAATGGGTTTCTTTTATTAACTCAAAATGAGTATTCTGCAGAAATTTTTATGTTACACATATATTGCAACTGTTTCCTGTTTTAATTTTAAAGAATAATTCTTGGGCTTTGCTCTAACAAAATCATATTTCCCCCACTAGTTTAAGCTTATTTTTTAGTCTCTTGTTCAGTATTAATGCCATTTGCTCCATGATTTGTTTTAGTTGCTCCAAGAGAGGCCATCTTAACTTTGTCTAGAATACTCTTTATAACCCCAATATGTGCAATTAATTAGGTTCAGGCTATCTATAAGATATTTTACATTATAGTATAAATATAATATACAAAATACCCATATATTAGGCAGTGTTATCTGTGATTTTCCGGTGATAAAGCTGAGATTTAGAACAACCCAAGCTACATTAGAACTCAGATCTCTCTAATAACAAAGTTCTCTATTGCAAGGTGCTTCTATATATAACTTACTGTATAAACAAAAAACAATGTTAAAACAAGTCTGTTGGGGAGGTGCTAAAGATTATAAATCTGTCAGGTATTTTTTGTTGTTTAACTATGAATATACTGAGAATTTTCATTATTGCCATCACAGTCACTATGCACCTAATATCATATTATTTATCCAAATGCCCCAGCGTTAATTAAAGCATCAAGTGCAGGGTAGTCAATTGAAAAATAGAGTTGGCTAAAAGTAATCAGAAAATAATAGATTACTCAGGTTAGTGTAAGACTAATAATTTAGGCCCCTTTGCACATTTTTCAGGAAGAGCCCTTTAACCTTTGTTAATTGCAAAATAACTACATCGCCTACCTGCCATCATCATAGAGGTTTCTTTTTGCTTTAATTCTGGAGAAGAGGGAAAGATGCAGCTGGGCCTACCAGTGTTTTTGGCTGGGACTCAAGCTGGCCTGTTCTGCTTTGCCCTTTACAGTTTGTTCATGAAGATAAACTTACACAAAAACCCACCCTCAAAGTCTGAGGCTCTCATTTGCAACAAGGCACCCCTGCTAAGATGGAGCACACACAGGGCCAGGAGGGAGAGGATAGATTTTCAAATCAAGACTCTGCCATCTGCTTGTTAAATGTGAACTTCAGTTTTATCAGCTGCGAAGGGAAGATAATAGTACCTTTATCACAGAGTTGGTGTAAGTAGCGTGAGCTCATATGTATGAACTAACTTTCCAAACATCAAAATGTTACATGAGTATAGTTATTTATAAGTTATCTCTATTATCATTGTACAGTGAAATGTATGCAATCGAATGACTTGTACTCGCTTGTTCATTTGAGATTAACTCCTCCTGATGAAATGCCATTTCCTAGGTCTAGTTGATTGCTAGGCCACTTACATCCCACAGCTTGGCTGTCTTGTAATAGTCTCCTGTATTTCTCAAATCAATCGCCCTTACCCACCTAATCTTTTGAAAACTCAGAAAATGAACCTGTCATAATTTATAGGGCCTCAGAAGGCTCCCAAAATATCTAAACTTGAAGCATCATGACCTTTAAATAGGAAAGAGAAACACAGATATAATTGGGCTTCTGAGTCTCGTAAAAGTCAGCCGTAGAAGAATGGAGGGAGCAGAAGCTGCACTCTTAGGCACATCTGTGAATGGAATGGAACTTTCCACCTACTGGGGATATTAACTCTGGGCCACTGTAAACCTAACTGCCTCATCTGTTTTCTTATCTATAGAAGGAGGTCATAATATATTTCTCAATATATTCTTCTGAGAGTTAAATGAGGTCACATATATAATAATCTTGATACACTTCCTGGCCTATAAGTGATTGTCAATATTGATCCCCATGTTCCATAATTTTAAAAGACCACCATCAGTCCTTAACCCCAAAACGTTGCAAAATACTTTGGAATTATTCCCCCATATATCGGTAATTTTTCAATGGTTATATATAATAAAACTTTAAATGTTTAAATGAGCTAATACATTTATCTGTGACAAGACTAAAATCTCAATCAAGGATCTGGAATTTTCACTTGGGATAAAACCACAAACTCTCATGATTATTTATGAAATATATGGATAATATTCTATAAAATAAAATACTGTAAGATATTTGTACATCTATACTATATAAAGTATATGTATTGCATCTGTGTATAATGTCTTTAAACACAAAAATCTGAATCGGTGGGGCAAGAAGATCATATAATGAGAAACAAAATGAAGTGATACAGAATGAAAAGATAGCAGATAAATATTTTCCATCATCTCACATTAGAATATGAGTCTTTTTGAGTCAAAGGGGGAGCCAAATTGCTTGTATTTTTGTAATATTCTCTCTGAGTGAAAAAGTTTTAAAAGATCAATGCATATATGTATCCTGTAGTTTCATTGTAAACTGCCCAGATAAGCAAGTCAGTGAAAAAGCAAAACCTCACTCAGGTCTTCAGGTTCCAAATCCAACACTACCAGGTGACCTTCATGCTCCCAGCACTTCGGCATTCCAACTCTACCTAATGAATCCAACATTCTCCCCTCTGCTTATCTGTTTCCACACAGGCAACTATGGAGAAAGTGGGATGGAAGCGTTCAAAGATATGTCAGCCAAGGAAGGGATTTGCATCGCTCACTCTTACAAAATCTATAGCAACGCGGGGGAGCAGAGCTTCGATAAACTGCTGAAGAAGCTCAGGAGTCACCTGCCCAAGGCCCGGGTGGTGGCCTGCTTCTGCGAGGGCATGACGGTGAGAGGTCTGCTGATGGCCATGAGGCGCCTGGGGCTGGCAGGAGAATTTCTGCTTCTGGGCAGGTAAGTGACAAGGAGAAAATTCACATGGAAGTAAAGTCAGGAATTTGGGGAAATCAAAGGGTATCTTTTGGTGCCTAAAGACAGATGCTTTGGAAGCTTAATCTGTGTAGTGGAAGTAGAGCTTAAAAATCATAAAACACCAGAGCCTGAAAATAATCATGGAAAATAAGTAGATATGCCATGTGCTGATTACTGATAATAACAAGAATCAACATATGAAAATGATGAGTCCTTCAGTCCTCAAAAACTAATTGTAAGGAAATGAGAAGGATTTTTAAATTCTTGCATAATTCCCTTGGAGGTAAACACATTTCAAACTTTATGCTGTTGCTTCTGAAATTGATTCTGAGAATGGCTATGTAAGCTTGTTTTATAAGATAGAATCTTAGACTTTGGGGATGGAACGTGAGGAATTGCTTCTAGAACTAATTGTAAAAGCATTCGTAATTTGGCTCATTATTTTATATTGCAAAAGTGTTATCACGTCGCCTGATCACACTCACATTGTTACCAGACCAGTTTCTAAAAGATTAACTTCTGCAGGGACTGACTTTCATTATCTGGATAATGCACTTGATTGGCACAGCTCAGCTCATTTCTTCCTGATCCTGTTGAGTCAGCGTATTAGTTAGGGTTCTGCAAAGAAATAGAAACAGTAATGTATGTCTATGGAGAGAGATACCCAGGAGAGTCAGTGTTACAGCTGTGGTCTGAAAGCTGGCAGGCTTGAGACCCAAGAAAAGCCAATGTTTCAGTTCAAGTCTGAAGGCCAGAAAAGACTAATATCTCAACACAAGCAAGTCATGAAGGAGTTTTACTCAGCCTTTTTCAGGACTTCAATTGATTGGATGAGCCCACCCAGTTTAGGGAGAATAAACGTCATTACTCAGTCTACCCATACTAATGTTAATCTCATCCAGAAACACCCTCATAGACAGAATAATGTTTGGCCAAACGTTTTGTCACCCTGTGGCCCAATCAAGATGTCACATAAAATTAATTATCACAGTCAAGTCAACACCATAGTTTTAACAGGTGAATGTAGTTCACCATTTCATACCTTTAAAAAGTTACCACATATCTTTTCTCAATAGGTAGCCAACTTAAAGAACAGAGAAAACCTTCAGAATCATTGCATCTTTCTCAGTATTACTGTCCAAAATAAAAAGCCAACTCACTTGTTATTAACTTTTGATGGCTCATTATAGACAACATGCTTCCTTTATTTGCGAACATGTGTAACTGACCTTCTGTGATCAGGCTTCGCTCCTACTCGGCTACATTTTATGACAGCCAGTTTATGTACCTAATTCTTTTCTGTCTGAGCTGATGGCAATAGATTGATGGGACTGTTTTATATGAGGCCAACCATCCTTCATAAAAATGATACTGAGATTCCTTTCTCATCGATGCCATACATTTTGTCTAAAATCATCCCTAGTTGGCAAGAGTGATGCATCAGTTCATTTCATGTAAACCAAGAACATTCTCACTGCCAATATTCTGAAAGTCCAAAGTGCAGTGTTACCAGTGGGATAAAAAGAACAAGAAAGAAAGATGCTGGCTTGAAACAGTCCTGTTTTTCCTTGGCGGGGGGGGAATGGGGGATAAGGGATTCTGTAGCTCCTATCTGCTGCTTTGCCAACATCAATAAACAAGTCAGCAGCACTTGTTTTTCAGCCATATGTTATGTCACAAACAAATGTTTTTTGATCGCATGTACCCAAGAAAAATAGGTTGGTATCTACTGTATTTGCCATTTTCCATCTACATTTTTTGCCAGCAGCATCACAAGGCCAAAATTCAATATTTTGTATATTTAAAATTTTATTCTGTATATGCTGTTTATAAGTTCTTTTCAAATCATTTCATCCATGAAATAATAGATTTATAACCTTTAATTATATTTCCTAATTCTCTCATTTATTGGCCAATAATAATTCAACATTTGCTTGAGCACCAGTTCATCTTTGAGCAATTGTTGTTAGAAAAATCCTTTCTCTGAATTTTAAAAATGTCTCTCTGTAGTTTCCACATCTTGGATCATATTATTTTCTTTGCAGGTGACATGTGATACTCTTTACAGTATTTGGAAACAACATTATGGCCCTTAGTCCCCTTCATCTTCTCATGAAATTCCCACTTCTTCCATTCCTACTTCTTCATAGTGAAAAGGCACTGTGGGTATTAATAAAACCATTTATCAGGACCATTTACAGGATCATTTATCAACTGCTGTGTGCCAATTACTGCACTAACCACTTTACATGCATTGTTTCATTTAATTATTCATTTGACAAATATTGAGTGGCTAGTATCTGTTAAGATGCTTGGAATACATCAGTGAACAAAACAGACAGTAGTCACTACCCTTATGGACCTTACAGATGATAAGTTAGATAGAAGGAAATAAGTGCTGTGAAAAAAATCTAAGAACAACTTGCATGATGAGTACTATTATCATCTCCATTTTATAGACAAGGACTCTTAAGACTCAATAAATGCTGAGAAATAATAATATGATATATAGACGTATGCCATGAAGGCAAAATTTTACATGTCTGTAAGTCTAGAAACTGAGCAGTTGGCACTACGTTCTGCTGCTTCTTAGTAAGTTTAAAATATCCCTGTTAGCAAAAGTGGAGGTCTAGGACACTGAGCAGAAAAGCAGAACTTAATAGTTGTAAGAGAATTTAGAACATCTATCCACTCTCATTTTACGAATGAGGAAACTGATACCACAGACATTTGAATGACATGGTCAAGGTCACACAAAAGCCCAATTACCATGACTCAAAATCTTGTGCTTTTCTCTACTAACCTGTCTCCTATAGAATAGAAACAGGGGAGAAGTTATAATCTGACAGCAAATCCCTGGTTCTTCATAGACCCTCGGTGGAAAAAAAAAAAGCTATCCTAGATAATTCCAATTGAAGTTAGCATTTTTATATTAATGTTCCCTCCTAAAAACTCTTATTCAACTCGCCCTATACTCCTCCTAGAATTTTAAGATAATTTTGTTTGCATATACTCCCCAATCTCTCTTTCTGCTCCTTCCTTCCCCTACCCCCAACTCAAACTTGGGTGGATAGTTCCTATAAACTAGAAGCCAAAGCTAAGAGAAAGACTCTGTATTCAGAACTTCATAGAGGTTTCCACATTTAACAGCTATAGTTACTTAAAAATGTATCCAGCTGCCTTGGGACAGGCATGTTTAATGGGGTCATTCAACTAAAATGTTAGGCAGGTCTAAGAACTCTGCTGCCAAGACAACCTCATCTATCAACATACCTCACCATCTGTGTTGCACATCTGTAGAATGTTAGAGTGACATAGACCTGGCCACTGGGTCTTCTCATTTGAACTCTGGTTAATCTGTTGTCTTATTGACAATAAAAATGTCCTCTCCAGGTCCCGGAAATAGCCTTGCTAAACACTTTAGCCCTGGCAGCAGGATGAGATCAATAATCTGAATGGTAATGACATTTCTAAAGGGGCTTATTTTTCTAGAATGGATACAGTGTTTTAGATCTTGACTTGGGAAAATATTATTTGAGATGTATTATTTACAAGTTGTAAGCCTAAAAATGTGGAAACAAGGACCAATTTTTAGCAAATTAACAATGTAAAGATCGTTTTATCTTATCTATGATTAACTAAAACTATTTAGCTATTTGAATTAAGAATTTCTGTCCTTCAATGTTATTATAGTTACCAGGACGCAAGAAAAAGTGTACTTAAATTTCAAAACTAATGGGAATTATTACCAGTGTTTCTTTTTTTATGCACAGGTTACTGATTTCAAGCCACATTTTTTTTTTAGCTTTTAAAATGTTTTCTTAAATTGAAGTATAGTTGATTTACAATGTTGCATTAATTTCTTCTGTACAGCAAAGTTATTCAGTTATACATATATATATATACTTTTTTCATATTCTTTTCCTTTATGGTTTAATCTCAGGGTATAGAATATAGTTCCCTGTGCTACAGAGTAAGGCCTTGTTGTTTATCCATTCTACATATACTAGTTTGCATCTGCTAACCCCAAACTCCCATTCCATCCCTCTCCCATCACCCCCCCTTACCCTTGACAACCATGAGTCTCTTCTCTATGGCTGCGAGTCTGTTTCTGTTTCATAGATAAGTTGATTTGTGTCATATTTTAGATTCCACATGTAAGTGATATAATATGGTTTTCATCTTTCTTTTTCTGACTTACTTTGCTTAGTATGATAATCTCTAGGTCCATCCATGTTGCTGCAAATGGCATTATTTCATTCTTTCTTATGGCTGAGTAATATTCCATTGTATTGATAAGTATGTACCACATCTTCTTTAACCATTCATCTGTTGATAGACATTTAGGTTGTTTCCATGTCTTGGCTATGGTGAATAGTACTGCTATGACCATAAGGATGCATGTATCTTTTTGAATTATAGTTTTCTCTGGACATATGCCCAGGAGTGTGATTGCTGGATCATATGGCAGCTCTATTTTTAATTTTCTGAGGAACCTCCATACAGTTTGCCATAGTTGCTGTACTATTTCACCCCTCTAGTTGGTCACAAAGCACCAAACTGATCTCCCTGTGCTATGCAGCTGCTTCCCATTAGCTATCTGTTTTACATTTCATAGTGTATATATGTCAATGCTACTCTCTCACTTCGTCCCAGCTTCCCCTTATCCCTCCCTGTGTCCTAAAGTCCGTTCTCTATGTCTGCGTCTTTATTCCTGTCCTATCCCTAGGTTCATTAGAACCTTTTGTTTTTTAGATTCCATACATATATGTTAGCATATGGTATTTGTTTTTCTCTTTGTGACTTACTTCACTCTGTATGACAGACTCTATGTCCATCCACCTCACTACAAATAACTCAATTTCATTTCTTTTTATGGCTGAGTAATATACCATGGTATATATATGCCACAATCTTTATCCATACATCTGTCAATGGACATTTAGGTTGCTTCCACGTCCTGGCTATTGTAAATAGTGCTG